TTTGGCCATTTTCGCTGAGCCCTGAGGGCCACAGGCTCAGACCTACAGAGCTGAGACTCACATCAGTAATATTAGGTTAAGGCCTGAACGCAATGACACTAAAATCATTCGGCCAATATGAGCTCTTTAGCGCCACCTGTCGGAAAGTAATAGGGCACTAGTGCTCGGATCGGCCCGAAAATCGCTGAGTGTAATCTCTGGACCGAGACAAGTAAAAAATTACATTATGCAAAAGTTGTAAGTCCCACACCTGACCACTGGGGGCGCCGTAAAGTGAAGGAATGAGCTTTTTGGGGCAAAATATTTGTCCGATGAGGCTAAAAATGAATTCAGAAATACAGCGTATGACCCTGAACACAACGATATGCAACACACAACTGTGAGTGCAACAGCGCCACCTACAGGCAGTTCAATGTGTCGCATTTTTGGCTTCGTACTAGTCCCTGGATTTTCATCGCACAGACTTCTACCATGTCATTTCTCCATCTGGACGGATTGAAGTTATGCAATCATCGCATAAAAGTTAGAATTTTGTTATCGTTTTCATGCGAGGTAGTGGGGAATTTCTCCATGTTTGATGCTCTCCTGACCACAGGCTCAGACCTACACAGCTGAAACTCACATCGCTAATAGTTGGTAATGGCCTGAGAGTAATGGTGTGAAAACACACACCTAATAGGACTCTACAGCGCCACCTATGGAAGGCTTCTGACCTAAACTTTTCCGATCTTCACCAAAGTTGCAAAATCAAATCTTTACATCTGTACGAGCAAAATACTACTCTACGTAGAGGGTGCATGTCCCGGAGGTGACCACTAGGGACGCACTTTATCATATAAATGAGCTTTTATATACGTAATCCTGGTCAGATCGGGCTGCCAATTCGTCGGCGTGACGCTTGTGGGACCGGCGCCCGGGAGGCGGTCGCAAGAGGGGCGAGGCCTTTCATCGCCGCTTGCGGCTTTAATTATTTTTCTTTTTTTTCCGCAACTTCAATTCGATTTTTGACCCTGAAGACATGCACGAAAGTCTGCACATGGGGGGTCTAAAACGACCGGTTCCGCGAAAAATTTGATAAAATGAACGTTTCCAGATTGTCCGACGCTCGCCGACTCTATAACGCCCCCTAGAAATTTCATTTTTTTTGACCCTCTGGGGATTTTTTTTTTTAATTTTGGAGTAGGTACACGAAATTCGGATGAGTGATAGATCTCTATGAGACGAGCATAAAGGCCGTTCTAAGCACATGTCTGGGACCAACAGGAAGTCGGCCATGATGGGCCAAAGTTTCGCCACTAATTTGACTTTTCATTTATAAATTCGAACTAGTCCCTGGTTTTTCATCACACAGAGTTCTACCACGTCATTTCCTAATCTGGACGGATTGAAGTTATATAATCATCAAACAAAAGTTAGAAAATCTTCACCGTTTTCGTCCCTCGCCATGGCGAATAAGGCCTTCATTTTGGCCATTTTCGCTGAGCCCTGAGGGCCACAAGCTCAGACCTACAGAGCTGAGACTCACATCAGTAATATTAGGTTATGGCCTGAACGCAATGACACTAAAATCATTCGCCCAATATGAGCTCTTTAGCGCCACCTGTCGGAAAGTAATCGGGCACTAGTGCTCGGATCGGCCCAAAAATCGCTGAGTGTATTTTCTGGACCGAGACGAGCAAAACATTACATTACGCAAAAGTTGTAAGTCCTACACCTGACCACTGGGGGCGCCGGAAAAATGAATAAAGGAGCTTTTTGGGGCAAAATGTTTGTCCGATGAGGCTAAAAATGAATTCAGTAATACAGCGTATGACCCTGAACACAACGATATACAACACACAACTGTGAGTGCAACAGCGCCACCTACAGGCAGTTCAAGGTGTCGCATTTTTGGCTTCGTACTAGTCCCTGGATTTTCATCGCACAGACTTCTACCATGTCATTTCTCCATCTGGACGGATTGAAGTTATGCAATCATCGCATAAAAGTTAAAATTTTGTTATCGTTTTCATGCGAGGTAGTGGGGAATTTCTCCATGTTTGATGCTCTCCTGACCACAGGCTCAGACCTACAGAGCTGAAACTCACATCACTAACAGTTGGTAATGACCTGAGAGTAATGGTGTGAAAACACACACCTAATATGACTCTACAGCGCCACCTATGGAAGGCTTCTGACCTAAACTTTTCCGATCTTCACCAAAGTTGCAAAATCAAATCTTTACATCTGTACGAGCAAAATACTACTCTACGTAGAGGGTGCATGTCCCGGAGGTGACCACTAGGGACGAACTTTATCATATAAATGAGCTTTTATATACGTAATCCTGGTCAGATCGGGCTGCCAATTCGTCGGCGTGACGCTTGTGGGACTGGCGCCCAGGAGGCGGTCGCAAGAGGGGCGGGGCCTTTCATCGCCGCTTGCGGCTTTAATTTTTATTATTTTTGACAACAAACAGCATACTTATTGTTTACTGTTAACCCCGTTTTGACAAAAGTATTTAAAAACCATTTTAAATACAAAGCAAACAGGGTTATGTGTGTCATATTCGTCATCAGAGTGGTAATCGTCACTGAAGTGGACCCGGGGCGTTTCTGTGACTCTCGAGGCTGAATTAGACAGATCGCTCTCTTACTAAAGATTGACAGACTCATTGAAAAAACTACTCTGGGCATGTGCATGAAGGCCAAATAGCACAGTAATCATGTTTAAAGCAGAGAAAAGTCAAACAGCGTAATATGGCCCCTTTAACAACAGAAGCACACACACACACTGACAAAAATAAAAACATGGGGCTAACCTGCATGCCCTGCTCAGTTTTTAAAAAATCTTGCAATTTTGTAATGAAACATTTCAACAATACGCCATTTTGACAAAGAGCAGTTACTGAAATGCTTCTACAGCAATACATTTGGCATATTTAGGTAAGTAAGGAATAAGTTCAGCCTTATGTGTCATGAGAGAGAACACTGCATCTCAAGTCAAATTCAAATTCAGTACAGTTAGAAATGTTTCCGTTCTATGCAACAGGCAAAAGATAATTGGGTTGTTTGGCTTGTTTCTACCAGACAACTGTAATTTAGCATACATTTCTGTCTTCCTCTGAACTGACTAGAAGAGATCGCAGTCAGCCAAGTAAACCCATGGATCTATAACAATATCTGGATAGGGTATTACTTTTCAATCCAATTCAATTTATTCTTGTATAGCTCTAAATCACAACAGTAGTCACCTCAGAGGACTTAACAGAACCGTTGAAATTGCCTACACAGAGCAGAGAATCAACAGTTAAGACACAAAAAATATAGAACAGATAAGCATTGGTCCATGGGAGAGACCAATGTCCATGAATGTTGAAAAATGTCCATAAATGTAGAATGTTAAAGTGTCCTGGATCACCACAGTCCTTCTTGTTAGACACCAACAGTCTAACAGACTCCTGCATCAGAGGAAAAAACTCTAAAACCCAGTGGGAGAAAAGTGAGAAACCACAGGGAGAACCACATTGAGAGGGATCCGCTCCACATGGACAAACGGGCTATAGATCCAGGACCTAAGTTACAGAACAAGGATCAAGGCCACCCAGCGCAGGACTTAGGTTGTAGAAAGTGAACAGGTGCGGTGCAGGACTGAAGCAATTCCCAGGTGGATTTAACAAATGGTATGCACAGCATCCTGTGCATACCATATACAAGGGACACTAAAATCCCCCCAAAATACGACCTTTATGAAAGCTGTAGGTTCTCTATCAGCTGAGGTCAAGCAGCATTAGTTTTAGTTTAGTAAGGTAGCCCTTGGGTAGTCTTGATTAGTCTGCATCCATCCATTTTCTTCCCCTTAATCCGTGTAAGTCAGAGCTGCACCCAGTCCACATAGCACCAGCCTAGAGCCCTGCACGGGCCTATTATCTGGGCCCGAGCCCGGCCCTGGCCCGAGGGGGTGGCGCCTCAGCCCGGCCCGGCTTCTAAATTTTCAGGCCCAAAACCCGCATCAAGCCCAACTTTTTTTTTAACCTCCCATAACAATGTTTTAGCGTGGTTTATAGTGCCGCGCGCTGATATGAACACAGGCTTGGCTAGAAGACGGAGTTAAACATGGTAGTGATGTGTTGCCATGAGTTCTGTGTGTGCGGAGTGAACGGCTGCAGATGTATGATACACAGATGCCGCAACACACTTGTAAGTAATGCTGTGTATCGTCAATGACAACACTACACAGAACAACAAACACTACAGCGTGATAGAACGCTATATTCAGTGGGTGCGTTCGTAAATGTGATCTGTCGCTCTGAAAGTGCGCGAGCCCGAGCCCAGCCCGTGTCCGAGGTCATTATACGGACATCGGCCCGAAGCCCGGCCCTCGGGCTGTCGGGGCCCTCGGGCCAAGGGCTCAAGCGCAGGGCTCTACACCAGCCCCTCACTGATCCTCCAGCAAGTGGTGAGTCCCAAGGAGCCTTGATCTTTCAGCGGGGGCTTCAGGCAAAGTGGGGTTCAGTGTCTTGCCCAAGGACACAACGACAGCAGCGGGAGTCGTGAAGTAGATCTTATGGTGGGCTCAAATCCATGCCCTTCAGGCTCAAAGGCCAATGCTCTACCAACTGAGCTACAAAGTGTTTAGTCTGCAATACTGCAAAAATCCTGCAAGCACATGGATCCTTCAGCTCCAAGTTAGTAATGCCCTATCCAAATATTATAATAGATCCATGGGCTCGCCTCCCAGCACGCCGCTCGGTCAAATATGAGACAAACAAATCTGTAAATTGAGGTAGAAATATGAGATAATGAAAAGTTACATTGAAATAATACATCTTTAATATTGCCAGCCTCAAATTGTATTTCTTTTCACACAGTTTGAAAATTCAAACAGAAATTACAGTCAAGACAACAAATAAGGTATGGTCACACCATGTGTGTCCAGGTTGATAGGCAAGCACTAGCAATCTTGCACACTGTTGTCCGCCTGTGTACATTGTTGTGAGAGAAGGCATGTGCTGGGCACCTTTACAGGGTGTCGCATCGGCTACCATGTTTATCATTGATTTTTGCGTTGAGGTTTTTGTTACGCACGGCAAACCCTGTGATGACTGCAATAGCAACAACCAGGGCAACTGCCAGGGATGCAGCAATGATCTGCCAGACAGGAAAAATCTCTGAAAATGAAAAAATCAGACATTACTCACTACTTAAGAGTCAAATGTATGTCAAAACATTTAGAAATTTTAACTTCTTTGTAAAGTAATGTATTACATAATATCAAACACATAACCTATCAAACGATGACAATACGTGTTCTATTCTATTATTATTCTATTATGTTCAGAACCTTGCCACAGTTGAAAATGAACACATTATCATAAGAGCACCATCTCTACTTTATCCTAGGAAATTAACAACAAATGAATTAGGAAAGTTTCAATCGGGCACATTCACGGCTATACAACAGAGTTAGAAAATAAACCACACAGAGCCTTAATACGAGGACAAGTGCCGAATTAAATGACATAGTTTTATACATGATCTAGTTAAATTCTAAGATCAATTTATTCAAGCACTAAATTGGACTAAATAAGCCTTGGTAGATAGTACTGTTTACTGGAGCAATACTGATAATGCCAACCAAGTAGGTGAGGCACTATATTCATTAGTTGCCATCTTACCAATGCTGTAATGGAACTAATTACAACACTTTACGTTTGAAAATAGATAATAGATCCATAGATCTAGTCTGCCAAAATGGTGTCCCTCAAATTTCACTAATGTGGGGACCGGAGCTCAATTGTCGAATGTAGCTTTACTTGGGTCATGAATGTATATCCCCAATGACTACCCTGAACAATGAAGTGTTAACTTACCTGGAAACCTCACTTTAATTGAATTATTGATTTGATGGTGAATGTCCAACTGAGTCACCACACAAATGTAAGTGTCGCTCCTCGTCACATTCAACTTAAGTTCAACATGAGAGTGTCCATCGGTATCATTTGGGACATGTTTTGCGAGTACTTGTCCAGCACTGTTTCTCCACTCCACCTCAGGTTCAGGGACACCTTTGGTGTGACAGTTCAGGAACCTCCAGGTAATCCCATCGTCAAGCATCTGAATGAGTGGCAGCGGAGCTGCCCCTAAGGAAACACAGTGACGAATGAATGATAATGTGAATTTATTTCAGCATGGTATTTGAAATGACACCCAATGCACTTTCTATGTGATAGACATACCCCAAGCGACTTGCAGCTGTAATTGCAGCAAAAGGTGGCGCTACAAAGTATTAGCGCAAGGGGGCCGAATAATATTGCACGCCCCACTTGCCGAATACTTTCGCAAGGCACTGTACAAAGCCATCCACAACCTTGCTCCTCCATACCTAACTGACCTCCGCCGCTCCTCCTCCTCCTCTCTCCAGCTCCTGGTCCCTCCTTCAGCTGCACTGCCCCCCAGCTCTGGAACACTCTCCCCCCTGACCTCCGTAACACCAACTCCTCTGTCCATGATGCTCTTAACTTTGCATTTTAACTATATTTCAACTGTTTTTAAAATACACTTTTTTACTGGGCGACATTGAGTGTCAAGAAAGGCGCTTAAGAAATAAAATGTAATATCCCAACAGAAAGACGTCTTCCAAAATTAAAATACTCTTGCTGTGTTTTTCTTATTATCTTTATTATTATCAAAAAGGTCTTAGGTGAAGTTTTACTCATGAGATTAATTGTTGTAAATAAAGATAAATATGCACTCACCTGAAAAGCTCACTTCCAGTGTATTGTTGATCTGATGGAAAATTTCTCGTTGAGTTGCTTCGCAAGTGTAGTTATCACTTCTGGTCACATTCAATTTGAGTTCAACATAAAAACGTCCATTTTGATTCTCTTGCTTTTCCACAGGCTTTAGAACATCTCCAGCACTGTTTTTCCACTCCACTTGAGGTTTTGGGAGACCTTCAACTTTACACTCCAGCAACCTCCAGGTAATTTTATCGCGGAGTGTCTTGATCCATGGTATTCGAGCCGCCCCTGAAGAAACAAGCAAGTTAAATCAAAGAGTAGGGGCGGGAATTTCAGTTAAATAAATATTAAAATCATTATTATTATTAATCCTTATTTAGGACACAATACAATACAGTCAAAAAATTAGGGCGTCTCATGTGTGGAACACAGTCCCATCAAACATCAGAGAGCTGGCCTCATACAATCTGTTCAAAACTCATCTCAAATCATGGTTAATCACAAAACAGACATGTCAACACTAACTTTTAACTGGTTGTATATACTGTATGGTAAATGTACACTGTTATTGAATCATTGATGTTTTGTATATAAGTGTTTGTGTTTGCTCTTAGGTTGACGTTTTAAATCTGTCCAGGGACAACGGATGAAAAATTGCCTTGTGGCTAATTCTGGTACATTTACAGTAATGTTCATTAATGTACACTGTCCCTGTCAAATAAACCAATAAATAAATAAATAAATTACATTAAAGTTAGCTTGATATTCACAGATTCAGTTCCACGGACAATAGCTCACGAAAGCTACGTTGTTAAAATAAAGTAATTGTGCCAAAATGATCACCTCTATGAAGCCTAACTAATACAACATAATTTTTTCAAATCCAATGCGCTGTTTTAATGCAGAGAAATTCATTGAATCCAATGCGCCCAAGTGCTGAGTAAAGCGCTTAGGGGGCATCCACAAGTGTCAATCCCAGCTTTGTAAACCAGCAATAGCTTTTACTTGAAGCCATAAACACACACAAAACTCTGACACTATACACAATGACTCTCTGAGGATTCTGTTGAAAGTGCCCAGGTTTTGTAGCGCCAGTGAAATTTTTGTATATTGTGGTGCGAGGTCATGTGTTGTCTCCATCAGATATTGTATTTACTCTTTTATGTGCAGAGCCGTGAATCTGTCAAACCAGATCATCCAAGCTCTGGTCTGTCCAAGGAGGAGCTCTGTAAGGTTTTCCTCTGACCTATGGAGGCATTGGAGGTCCTGTCTGTACACCTGTTTATAATTTTACTGTATACATATGTTTTTTGTCTCTTTATTATTATTATTTTTTGTTTTTT